TGTCTGTGAGGACTAGCACGTGACGCCGTCGCACCAGGTCACGGAAATGCCGTAGGGCTAGGTGTTTAGCCCGAAGCTCCAGCCAATTTATGTCGTGTCGAAGGTCCGAGTGGGACCAACGACCCTGTGTCCAATTCGATTGTAGGTGTGCACCCCAGCCACACAGGCTGGCATCGGTTGTGAGTAGTGTCCGATCCGGTTCCTTGAACCGCGACCCTTTGAGTACGGCGGGGGACGGCCACCATGTGAGAGACCTCAAGACCTGAGATGGGAGCTTCACCCTCTGGTGAGAGGCGCTGAGGTTCTGCCTCTGAAAGGGAAGCAGAAACCACTGCAGTTCCCTGGAGTGAAGCCTGGACCACGGGACAATTGCAATAGTTGAGATCATTTGACCTAGTAGTTTGGATAAGCTGATGACAGATGCTGTCCTTCTCCTGCGAATCTGAAGGATGGCCTTTCTCAAGTTGTCCCTGCGCTCCTGAGACAAATACACCCGACACTCCTTCGTGTCTATGATGGCCCCTAGATGTAGTAGCCTTGTAGTGGGAACCAAGTGGCTCTTGGGGAAGTTTATCGAGAACCCGTGGTCCTGGAGCAGCCTTACCACCCGTTCAAGATCCGTCCTGGCGGAGTGGACGGAAGACGATTGGATCAGGATGTCGTCCAGATAACACTGGACCCTGACAGGTACCATCCTTAAGTGAGCTGCTAGGACCGCCAGGATCTTGGTAAACACCCTGGGAGCCGATGAGAGACCGAAGAGAAGGGCCTTGTATTGGTAGTGACGGCCCTTGTATATGAACCGTAGGAACCTCCGGTGGGCGAAAGAGATGGGGACATGGAGGTATGCTTCCGTGAGGTCGATAGACGTCAGGAAGTCCCCCCTTCTTACGTTTCCTAAGATGGATCTGAGCGTTTGCATCTTGAATTTGCGATATACAAGATGATAATTCAAGGCCTTTAGGTCCAAAATGGCCCTCCATCCCCCTGATGCTTTTGGCACAACAAAGAGTATGGAGTAAAATCCCCGACCTATCTGGTCCTCCGGAACAGTTTCTATGGCTCGTACGTCCAGCAGATGCTGGATGGCTTCGCCCATCAGTGTCCTCTTGGCCTGATTTCGAGGATATGGGCAAGAAATGAATCTGGTCGGTGGTGTCGGAGGTAAACTCTAGGTAAAGGCCGGAATTTATTGTTTTGAGGACCCATGCGTCCGTGGTGGTAGCCTCCCATTGGCGGGTGAACAGAGACAGTCTACCCCCTATGGGAGGGACCGTCAGGGAGTCACCTGGAGCGGCGGAATGGCCGGCCGCTCCCTCGAAAGGGCCGCTTACCCTGAAACTGTTGTCTGGGTTTAGTTGGCTGCCGGTCGTACTGCTTGTCCTGTCTGTCCTGTCTGGCCGGAAAGGGGCGGAAAGGCTGTGAGTAATTATACCTGTTCCCGGCCCGAAAGGACTGCCGACGGGCCAAATAATTCAGACGCTTCTCTGGTTTCTTGAGAATATGGCTAAGGACCTTACGCTTATCCTTATTCTCGGTGAGGTAGGGGTTCAAAGCCTCACCAAAAAGTTTGCCTCCTTGGTACGGAGCCGCCGCCAGACGCCACTTGGACTTGGCATCCGCATGCCAGCGTTTGAGCCAAAGCATGCGGCGTTCCGAGATGCTGGATGCCATGGCCTTGGAGGCAAACTTGGAGGCCTGGAGAGTTGCATCTGATGCGTACTCCAGGGCCGCCACCATCTTGCTAAGTTCCTGTTGTGATCGAATGTTATCTTCCGGGGTACGGGCTTGGAGCTGTTTAAGCCAGCGGTGGGCAGCCCTGTTAAAAAAGGATGCCGAGGTGGCCGCTCTAATTGCCCAAGTAGTCGCCTGGTGAGTCTTACGAAAGGCTAGCTCACACTTACGGTCATCCGCCTTGAGGGCATCAGAAACATCCCCAGCTATAGCGGTAGGGGAAACTAAGGGTCCAAAGGGTTCATCCACAGCAGGCACCTCTAGAGCCTCCTCCAGGTCCTTGGCCACGTTGTAAAGCTTTTTTGTCCGTGGCACTTGGGAGAGGAAGGGAGGCCGGGGCCGCCCATTGTTTCCGGACAGCGGTCAGAAACATGGGGGGACAAGGAATCCGGTGTTGTGTAGCCACTGGCTCAGTAAAGTTAGGATTGAATTCTGAGTCAGGGGAAACCATGGCAGTTGACGAGGAAGGATCAACCCCGGGTTGTGCTGTGGATGAGACCTTGCGGAGTAAGGTCACAAAGGAGGAGGGGTTAAACATACCACTAAATAACGGGGTCTGAGTAGAGGATTCCTCCTCATCAGACAGGGAACTCCTGCTTGTTGTCCTGGACCTGAAGTGACAATCCCTCAGAATATGAGGATCCAGAAGGTGAGGAGGGTGCATACTGAGTCTCAGGCCCTTGATCAATCATGGGCAGAGGATCACTACTTATCGGTCTAGGAGGTACGGCCCTTGCGTCAAGTGCACGGTCAACCGCCTGCGCAATTAATAGGGCCAGTCGATCCTCTGAAGGGAAGGAAGGGGGCTCAACTGGTCAAAGCCCAGCTGCTGTGGGGGTAAAGGTAGCTTCCGGAGTCCCATGGTGTGATGTTGGGGCATGTGGACATAAGACAGACCCTCAGTTGGGGGATTATCCATCCTAGCAATTTTTTGTGCCCTAGAGAATTCTTTTTCTAAGGCTTGGTGTCTCCTGTTAGCCTGCTTCTCTGCCCTCTTGGAGGTTTTGCTAGTGGATCTGACCCTATTTTTGGATGAGGTCTTGTCAGATTCCTCCATAGGAAGTTGGACAGAAGTTGCAGGGACCGCTGAAGAGGGGACAATACCCCTAGAGGGAGGGTCAGTAGCCTCCATTCCCCGATAACACAGGGACTCGTGGGGACCCCCCGGTATCAAGAGAAATTAGTCAACGGGAAGGACAGGCGCACTATCAGGTACGTCTGGAAACCCGGACACAACTGTAAGAGCAGCTGACTTTTTTTATGCGGACAGGACAGACACACAAAACGGGTATGCCTGGAATCCGCTCTGCTCACAGAGGATAATAGAAGGTGCTCAGTGGGACCACCTGGTATCCTGAGGCCCAAGAAATTCAGGAGCACAACAAGGTACTCTCCCGTGCCCAAATGACACTGAGGCCTAAATTATAATAGGAGACACCAAGTCTGAGGAGGAGAATGGCAAGTAGGGTTCAGGATGATGAGGTATTTATCACTGTTTAGGTCAGTTCTGAACTAGGCCTAAGCCAGGAACGTTCACACTGTACCCTAAAAAAGGCGGTCAGAGCCCAGAGATTGAGGCCAGACTGGTAGAAAAGAACTATGATCCGCCCACTGGGGGACCACAAGGCCCCGCCGAGGGCCTTCACTCGTAAATCCAAATTAGCTAATCCGCCTACAGAGTGTGTCAAAGATGGCGGCCGCGCCTAAATAGCGAATCTATGTACTATGGAGCACAAGAACGGAAAAATCCAAAAGGGAGGATTCTCTCTCCTCGAATTTCCCCCCCCCCCAAGCCCCGGGCCGATCGCTTCGCAACCGTGTGTTTCAAAATGGCGGCCGCGCGTTTCAAAATGGCGGCCGCGCGCGCGAATAACGGTTGGATGCGGCCCGAGAACTGAGGGAAATGGGCCGATCGAAAGAAACGCGCTACAAGCACTCCGAGAAGTTGAAAAAACGTCCGCTTTTTCGAGTCTCTGATCAGCCGTTTGAGCGCTGATCGGAGTGCCGTGTGGGGCGCGCGCACGCCCGGTCAGTTTATATTTTTGGGGGAATCGAGGGGCCGTAAGCAGCCGAAATAATGGGCCGCTCCTCCAGCGTTTAAGAGAAAGGGATCGGTTTTGCCGATCGCCGCAGCCGCGAGCTCCGAAGGATTCTCTGGGGTCTAACAGCCGTTAGACCAACAGAAACTCAGTCGCCTCGTTGTAAAGCTCCTGGAGGGAGGGGAGCGAGAAGGGGCCCCCTTCTATCTCCCTGTAATTATTCCCCCCCCCCACACTACAGAGCTGAGAACGGTGACTGAGAATCTCTGAGAATCCTTTGCAATTTAAAGAATTTGGTAAGGAAAGACCGAATTAATTAACTAATTCTCAGAAAGTGGAATAATAGAAAATAGGGATGGAAGATCCACAAATAGTCTAGACTGTACCTAAGAGCCAGAGTTGTACGTTCTGTCCATGGGCAAGATCAAGTCAAGACTGGGATCTGAAGCCCAGGACGGGGCGTGACAACTTTGGCTGACTTGATCTGATTGGGCAGGAATACAGTCTCAACCCATTCTGTGGATCCTCCATCTCCAGTGCTGGAGAAACTGAGGGATGAGAAGCCTGCAATGGATAAGGGTGAATTACCTAGTTATAATCCAAATGAATGGATGGTGAGAGAAATAACGATGAAAAATGTTGATGCTGAACATGCTTGTACTATAGTGTCTTTGTGCATCAAATCTAAAGAGAACATCACAAAAACAATTAAACCCACAGAAAATCTGAGTCACTTGGTGGGCATCATGCACAAATGTAGATCTGTACTCAGGGAGCATATACTCTCAATTGTTCCCTCATGAAGCAAAAATCAATGAGCTGACTCTCAGCCACAGATGGGTTTCTATGCAATCAATAATGGGAAGGCTAACAGAGGCAGCAACTGCAGGATAGGAACAACCTCTCTATCATAACTGAAGTGGCAGGATTGACAAACTCAATGCCAGATTCAGATTTGAGGTCCTATTCTTTGCCTTTTCTCATAGTGACCTAGGTCCAGTGGTTTCTTGCATACCCAGAAGTCAAGCATTCTGAATGTGAACGTCTCTTTGAGCTTGAAGTCTGAAAAGTAGGAGTTCTGTCTTTATGTATATTATTGAGAATGGGAGGAATCTCAACAGGAATCTTGTAGTTCAGAACATTCCAAATAGACTAATGCATAGGCACAGAATCCTTATGTGTGAACCATTAAAAGAACAATGAAAACTGTAGCTCTGCTCTCCTCACCTCCAAGGCCACTCTTATCTTCTGTGATTTTGGGGGTCTCAGCCACAGGAGAGGATCTGACAGCTTGGAAAGATGGTGTACTAGAATCCTCTCTTTCCTCTTCAGATTCTGCCTTGCGTTTGACTGCCAAAGCCTGGGGCTTGCTCTGTATAGGAGGAACACTTTGAAATGTTACATATATTTTAGCAAAGATATTTTACAATCTATTTTAAGTATTATTAAAATCCAAGATTCCAGCCATTAAATCAAGGCTGCATAGAAAGAAGCAACAGCAGAACCACAGACAATAGAGATTATCTATCTCTTTCAACTGCACCTTCCCTCAAAAGAAACCAACAATTTCTGTCTCACCTATCTAGAAACCTAAGGAAATCAATTACTCATTTAAACATCACCTTATCTGACTAAGTGTTATGAAGACCTCAGATGCAAAATGAAATTTTTATCAATAACAGACTAGCTTGATGTAGGGAAGTTAGCCCATCATACCTGTTCCCCTCCAATTGTTTCCCACTACAATGGCAAGGGGCCACTTACTGATAACTGGACCGGCTGTACATAATATGCTGTGGCTGCTGCTTGAGTAAGGATTGGAGATGAAGTAGTGCTCTTCACCTGCGCTGTGCCCTGTACTTGTGCCACATTGGTTCCAGCAGTGACCGGAGGAAGGGCTTCTTGTAGAGAAGGTGGTGGCGGAGATGATGATATCGAAGAAGAAGAGGAAGAAGAAGAGAAAGAGATCTGTGCTAATGAGGATGCTGTATGGGTTTGGGATACTGGCTGCACTACAGCTGGCATACCCCGGGGGGGCTGCACAGCTGGGTTCATCTGAGGAAGCCCTAATGCCTGAGCCTGAGCTGAACCTTGCTGACGATTTCCTACCAGCTGTACTGGTATATGAGGTGGGGGCTGCTGGGAGGCTGACATTTTGGCAGCACCAATTTGTGGGGGTTTCAGAGGGGCTATGGGAGGCTTTGATTGAATAGGGACAGGGGTCTTAGTGACTGTCTGGCAATGACTGTCCTGCTGGACCTGCACTGGCTGAGGTTGTGACTGCAAAATGGGCTGGACAACAAGAGTTTGGGCTTGCTGTTGGCCATGAAGAGATGGGGCCTGTTGTGAAACCTGTGTTGGCCCCTGCTGCTGTTGGGTCACAGGTGGAGCTTGCTGCTGCTGGGCCAGCTGGAGGTGTGTAGCAGTGTGTAAGAGTTGGGACTGGCGATGCTGGAATGGCTGCTGGTGATGGATAGCAATTTGTTGCTGGATCACCACTTGCTTCTGGAGGTGAATTTGCTGCTGTTGCTGGATCAGTGAATGAGGCTGGATTTGGGTATACGTGGCTGTAAACAGCAAGAAAAAGGTTTAGCATCATCACTAAATACTTTAATGTAATGTAAGAAAATGAAGTCAGATACCTACACCCTAAAAGATAACAATTACAGAAGATGAAGAAAAGGAGAAGCCAAGAAAGCCTAGCAAATTAAAAACCATTTAATTGTACCCACTCATCTAACTGCAAAAGATGATTCATGCACAGTATGTTGAACCTTTCCCTTCTGTTCTCTTCTTAATATTGATGAATAAAGATATTCACAAATCAAAGATTAGCCCTTTCCATCAAGCAGGCAAAGACACTGGGAACATTTTTTCTCTATGACAGTATTTCTCAACCTTGGCAACTTTAAGGTGGGGGGACTTCAGAATTTTTTAGCCAGCCATATGATGAGGTCCACACATCTTAAAGTTGCCAAGATTGAGAAACATTGCTTATTGTAAAGGAATTGTGTATGTCCAATCCTTGATATCACTAGTATGGAAGGAGAAGTTGCTCTTGTGTTAGATTTATTTCTCATCCTTGCAGAAAACTGCTTTGCCTGTTCAGTATCTCAGTCACTGAGAATGAAGACAGTGTGACAAAACATAGCTCTCTTTACTAGGAACAAGAACCATGGAGCTTTTCCTCCAATCTAATCCAACACAACAATAAGTAGTACCAATTGGCTACTCCTAATTGAAGTCTATCTTTCCTGTGACATGTAGCAATTATAAAAACAGTGAATTGTATTCTTATCAAAGAATACAAAAAGGTTCAAGAAGACATTAGCAGGCTTTCCACAAAGAAAATAATCACATGTTAACATACCAGAACTGATCAAAGTTTGGCTTGGAGCTGGTGTAGCTGTCCTGGTCAGATTCATGCCCACAGTCTGTTGCCCATTACCATCACCTTCAGCCTTCTTTGCTGCCACACTGTCTGCCTCTGTCTGACTTCCTTGACTCACAGTTACTGCCTGGGGAGCAGAAAGTACTGGTAAAGGCTGAACCACGCCAGTTCCTTTCCTTTGGCAGTTAGATGCCAGGCCAGATGAAGTTGACTGGTTTGATCCAGTGGTAGCATGATTCCCTACTGATGAGGCCACACCTCCAGAAATGCCATTACTTCCTGTTGCACCTTGGCTGAGATTGAGTGACTGGCCTACATTGCCAGAAGATGCTTGTGTTACTGTCAAGGTCTGGCCAGCATGGGCAGCTTGGGGTAGTACTGAAGACTGGGAATTCCCTGGCAAAGTAGCCTTTGGTGTAGAAGCTTGGAGTTGTGTATTAGCTGCTGAAGTCTGCTGGCTCCTGATAGCCAAATTCTGCACCTGGAAAACATAAGGAAAAAGAGCAAGCTGTTACTGTAGGTAAGGGTACAATGTCCTGAAATTTACTCTTATTCAACCTGCAGGAAAATTGCCCAATTTCTCTTGCGTCCAAAATGATATTAGCCAATATCACTAAATACTACAGGGAAGGAGGATCAAGTAATTTATAAAAGAATTGGTTACTTTGGCAAAGTTTTAATCTCTTCTCTTTAAAGTTAAAATCACATGGCACTTCCTGGGCAGAACTGGATAAAAAAATATTTCCCCCATATGAATAGAGTTCTGAGCAAACTCCTTCAGAATGATGTTACAGTATTCTAATAACTACGTGTTCCATATTCCTACAACTCCAATTGGCAGAAGTTGATCTTTATAAAGAAACACCATTTAAGATGGAAAATAAATATGGATAGAAAATGCAGAACAGTGTGGCCCACCTCCATCTTTCCAATGTACCAAGAAGTGATGAGAAATAAAGTGTTCAGTGATCAAGTAGACTAGAATTACAAGCCAGTAATTCTACAATCTCTACAGATCATGAGTTAGCTAAATCATTACAACCTTTATGTTTCCAATTTCCTGTAGCAAATTAATTCCCACTCACCCCTTATTTGAACAATCTCCTTTCATAAAGTTTTTTTTTCAAAATTTTTATTTAATAATTTATTATACATTATGCCAGAAGTATCTATTTAATGCTGCAGCAATAAATGGTACATATCATTCTGAGAATTAGGATACAACAAACACAAACATTAACATAGCTGTTCAACTGCATAAATTCACTGCAACAATGAGGTCTCTAGCTGATGTGTGTAGTAAATGATGAATGTTGCTATGAAACAAGGACACAACATCAAATTAATGCTCTATCCAGCGACATTGTGAGATTTAACTATATACTCAAGATAAGGACAGGTCAGGCTGGTCATGGGAACCCCAGAAAAGGGTATCACTGACCTGATCTGTGTCTGTGTGGACCGCAGAAGCATGAGTGGAAGGTGCTTCCTGCTGAACAGCAGCTACAGCCCCATTTGGCATCAAGATGAGCTGGGAAGTGAGAGGTACATTGCGGCCCAAGGTCCGGTTTACCTGCAACAGGTTCCCCAGCTGCGGCTGTTTGGGAAGGATTAGATGGCATGGAGATAGGAGAGTAAAAGAGAGAGGAAGAAAGAAAATGAACTAAAAGCAAAAATGTTATAATCTGTCATGGGTCTAGGGTCTCCAACAGAAACTCATACTGTATTTGCAGTCTTTTCTTCATCAGACAGAAAGCAGACATTACTTATTTACAGAGCGCAAGTTATCATTTTTCCCCACTATTAGGCCAACAGTAGATACCTAATAATTTACCCATTACTTTACAAGTAGTAGTGAAGGATGGATAGCGAAAATAAGGGACCTTTACTATATTTGTGATAGTTAAGAAACAGTATTTTCATATTACAGATCTAGAATGAAGAGAACATATTCTCTAAGTCTAAAATAAAAATCTGAAACCAAGCAAGTTAACTATTAGCTTTTCACAAATATCCAATTAATACCCAAAGAAGCAATGGGGAGAAGGGACAATAAATTTCTTTTAAAAGTAGCCTTATTAAAATTATAGCTTTCCCTCCATATAGTTTCAAAAACAAGAAAGATAGTGAACTAGGCTACTGATACAAGAACATGGAAATCATATTAATAAATAATAATAAAAGCCATTCTAAACATCAGACTGTGCAACCAATCATAACAACTTCTTACACTTGTTTATTACTCAACTCAGTCACTCTGAATGATTTACAACCATCAAAAAAATTACCACAAAACATAAAAAACAAAGAAAAAAAGATGGCAAACACAATGTATCACTGTATTCCACTGTAGGCCTAGATAAAGAGCTTCACAGCTATTATAAACAGCAGAAGTGGGAGCATTTTCTCAAGAGCAGCTTTAAAAGAAACGTAAGAGCTGCAGCTAAGATTCAACAAAAGATGACATTTTTGTTCTCATAAAATGTTCTCAAACTCCCAGAAAGTGCCATAGGGTCTTTAAAGTCATAGAAAATAAAGTTCTAAATGATCCTCTGTCCCTGCAGTATATATATATTGAAAAATTCAAGGGATTAGAGGTTGCTAACTCACAGCTGGATTGTTATAAGGCTGAGAGAGACATGATAGACTACAACAAGAAGACAAAGAAGATTTATAATGAAAACAATGCATGCAGTTTTACCCGAAGATACATTTGAGCTTGTGACTGGTTAAGAGGTGGTGAAGTGGTGTTCCCTAAAAGGACTGATTGTGTCAGTGTCGTGGCACCAGGTGAACTCACACTTTGTGAGCGACTGATTAACTGTGCAGCTGATGTGGTAGCCAGGTTAATCTGTAAAATGAAAAAAAAAATCAGCAAAAAAAGGGAATTCATAGCAATGGAAACCAAAAGGGAAGCAATTTCTAAACAATATTTGAGTAAAAAGACCAAAGAAGGTCCAGCAATTACTTACATACTTTCATTTCATGTCTTTTCTGTAGCTTTCAGGAATCCAGATATATTCTGGAATAATAGTTCCCTATTTTTGATCTCCAGATATTGCTAGATATAATTCTCATCATCTTCATATACCATAGCTAATATACTGTAAGCAATTATTAGTAATGAAACAAAATCAAAGATCCGAAGCTGAGAATCAAAGAGAAAAGCATTGGGTGCTGCACAGCCCATTATTTCCGAGAACAAAAGATAGTGGGAGAAAAAAAATGGGGAACAAGCACTCTCAGAAATCTCTCACAATATCCTCAAAATTTCAGTAATTGGAAGACATGCAAAATAGCCTTCTAAGTCACAATACCATCATACAAAACCAAAGTCAGTTCAAAACTGCTGTAAAGGAAAACTTTTTTTTTCTGATGACCCTAATTTGAACTGCAGTTTCTTCCTCATATAGTCAAGTATCCCATTTAAAAATGTCTTTATTCACACACACTAACCATTATTTCTCCAAAACAGATATTTTCCATTTTCATTCTAATATTATTCTTGACTCACACAGCAAGCAACTTTTTCAGACTCCAAAATACCAGACTTAGGTATGAAAATATTCATTCATAATCAAGAATGTATCCAAACAAACAATCATGAGTCACTCTACTTACTGAAGCCTGTGTGGTGGCTGTCTGCTGAGGGGAACTTGTGTTTGGAGAGCCTGCCTGTCTGCTGGCTGCAATTGTGGCCTACAAGAAATATTTTTTTAAAAATTAGAATTAAGATACTGTATATTATTAAGTACTCCCTGATAAAAAGACAAAAAACTGAGAAATTAAACTTTTCATTAGTATATATTCTTTCTGAAAGGGCAAACTATGATAGAGACCTCAATTGTTTTAACAGACTATTTCTTGATTTGATCATTATGTTATTCTTAATTATTCTGGGCAATTTTTGAGGTTTTCTTCAGAGTCACGGAACTGGCATAAATTTATACCATGTGAGCAACCAGTAAGAACAATCAAAAGCTCCCGTCACTACTCTCAAAAAGGCCCAAAGCTCGATATAGGACTTCCGGTGGTGACAGGCTGCATCGCATGGCGGCTTTTGTTAGCCGCCCGTCTGGGAGCGCGTCAAAGCCTGAAGAGACAGCTGTCTCTCGGCTCGGAACCTCATCCCTCGGGCGAAGGGGGGGGTGAGTAAGTCCGGATAGGGCTCGAGCTTCCTCTCACCCCGGTTTTGCTATAATCGGGGGTGAGAGATGTTAGCTCGCCCGGAGTCTGGACGATCTCCGCGCCCCATGACGCCTTCGCTATCCATTTGGAGCGAAGCCAGATGCAGCTCCCACCTCTGCTGTTGGAAGGTATTTGGACTTAAATTTTAAGCAGACGGAACTAAACAGGAGGTTTGGATTTACAGTGGACTGTTTGTGACTTTGACTCTGAAATATACTAACATCTTCTTTATTTTGTGGTGATTTAAAGTGAGAGAAAATGGCTGCGGACTTGCCGTTTCTCTNTTTTTTTTTACTTTCACTCTTTTTTGGTTGCTGACTGGAAAGAGATACATTGTTGCTTCTCCGGCTCTGGAAAGTTTTAGCTGCAATGAATTGGTGGTGCATACTGGTTGGTGATATTAATACTGTTATCCTTTTGGAGTAATGAAGTATATTTAAAGAAATTTGGAGGTTTTAAAATGGCTGCGGATCTGAGGGAAAAAAAAGAGTGAGAAAGAAATTTTTATTTCTTTTTTTTCTGGTTGCTGAGTGGAATTTACTGAAAATGCCTTTATCTTTCATTATGAGTGACTTACAGAATGTTTTGATGCAAGCAGTCAAGCAATATAGTGTGGAAGTTAAAGATCTTTGTCTTAAGAGATTGGAAGAATCATATGAAACTGTGACATCTGCTCTCCAGAAGTTTATAGTTCCAGATTGCATAGAGCAACGGGTGGATAAAGTATGTGAAGAGGTTGAAGAAGATGTCATGGAAATATCCCAAAATGATATGCCATATTATGGAGATTTGGAAAATGAAAAGTTTGAAAAGCTGGGAAAAGAAGCGGTAATAGATTTGGTCATGGTTCTGGTGTACCTCCCTAGTGAAATTTTGAGAAAAAAAAGTTTATATAGAATCCATTTATGGGTCGTGCATCAGAGAAAACCAGCTGAAGATGTTGCTGCTTGTGCCTTTGGAAGAAGCTTACAGGCTTACTACTTGCAAAAATTTCGGACACGTTATAAAATGTAACAGGTGGAAAATGTATTGATTATGAAGGTTGATTTTGTATCAGTGATGTGAAAATGAATGAAACTGGGGGGAGATGCAAAATGGAGAGCTGGGTTAGAAGGATTGTTTTTGAAGCTTATATTTTTAAAATTCTGGGTTAGCAATATAAATAAGAAGAATGAATTTATATGAATGTTTTGAAGTAGATGATTAATGATATATAATTATATTATTTTAAAGGATTTAATTTTTGTATTTAATGGGATTAAGATATGATTATTATAATGAGAAATGGTAAAGTTTAATTCTTAGATATTTGGATTGGGGGAAGATGGATAATTATATTATGAGTCTTGGTCTTAAAATAGAGTATAATTTTTGGTTTTTTTATTATTCGAGTTAAAGTTCTTTTTTATAATTGATTGTTTTAGGAGTGTGTATAATCCTGTAGTTAGTTCTGGGAAGTCGGGGAGGGGATTAGGGGGAAATTATAAATTGATGTATTCAATTATTATAGGTATATAATGGAATTGTATTAATAAGAGGATATACTCGGCTGGTACCCCAAGCTGCACTCGATGAGGTGGTTAAGAAGGCGGAGGGGATGTAGAAAAGAGGTGGCAAGAAAAGGAGGAGAGGTTGTGGGTTTAGGGGGAGGAAGGAGAGGTAAAGTGGATGAGGGTGGAGGCAAGGCGGGGACTGCCGAGCGTATCCGAAAATGTTTTGAGTATTTTTACTGTTTGTTGGTGTACATAGATGCATCATTTGTATTTGTTGTTTTAACTGAAAAATTAATAAAAATTTCTAAATTAAAAAAAAAAGGCCCAAAGCTCAGCAGACAGAAATGCGGATAAACTTCATATCTAATGGTACAGTATCAATGCAGCCTACAACTGTTATATGAATGAATTACCTACCTCATATCATTATATATGTGAATGGCTATATTTTGCATCATAACCATTTGGAAAATGACCCCAAGTACAGTACAGTAGCCCAGACATTGTACCATTGACACATAATATTGTGATTAATATGTATATGTTATTTATATGTAAGGGTGTAGGTCTGTACATATATTGTATATAGTATGTTTAAGTGTGTGTTATGTATGTGTACACTTAGAGAGCAAGCAATTAAATTTCATTTTTAATGTGTGCCATTGTACCCACAGTAAAAAATGACAAAAAGGTTATCTATCTATCTAATATGAAAGGTATGTCAACATTTTCCAAGTAAGCCCCTATTTTTATCGACCGCTGCTAGTTAGCAGTAAATCTATGGAAAGCTAAGCTGCATACACATTGTTTAAAAAGCCATAGCCCCTAAGACAGCAGTTCTGCAATCAAAATATTTTCCGTTTTTCAATTCAACCACAATTTGTTTGCCCTCAGTAGTGCTCATTATGTCAAGAACCAATTGCCACCTAATTCCAAGCTGGAGAAAGATCAAGCTACTTATCTATTAAGCTACAGAAGAGGCAGGAAAACTTTTAAATTACAATGGGTTATAAGACAAGCTGCACTCTCATGTGGACAGTGGATAACACGGCTCAAACTCAAAAGCAGCTATATAAACACTCAACACATTTAAGAATCTTTATTGTCTACTAAAATGAAGCCCCTTAGCAGCTGAATGCCCTTAAGAATTTCAGCTCTTTTTAAAAGCCACTGCAATTTATATCTTGTGCTGCTTTTTTCCAACTTTTCTCAAAGCTTACTGTACATCTTGCTTTTTATTCCTCAAGTTTGGAACTTGGTAGCAACTGGCTATTGACCAAATTGGCATTCCTATTCTGAGAAATTCTTATTCTTCTAATGTAATATTGATGAAAACTATCTCCAAACATTGACTCAGAAGTTCCATAACATTTTTAAGATTAATTTAAAGAGAGAACTGAGTAACATCTGCATATTAATATTCTCGAAATCAATTCTCCAAATTCAAGCAGATGCTGAAAAGCATGATGAAAAAGATGGAGACTTGGGACACTCAGTCCCAAGGTTCTCTCTTTTCAAACATAATTTTTCAGCTAGCATGTCTTGACTTCTCACCTGCTGGACTGCAGCCAGGCTGTGAAGTTGAGCACTGTTGAGCTGTTGTTGAAGCATAAATTGATGAAAGTATTGGGCTGCATTGGGTTGTCGCTGTAGTGCTTGAAGGGCCTGCAATGAAGAAGAAATCCAACGTAAGTACATGGAACAACTACGTATAATCCACAATAGTGGTTCTTTTAAACTTTAAACTAAAAGTAATTCTCAAGAACGTACTTTGGATATTAAATAATTTGTAGGAGTTTTTTTAAATAAAAGTTTTATTGCTTTTTTCCATTTTTTACAAAAGCTTAGGACACAACGTGGTGGTCAGAATGTCAAATCATTCAAGAACAAAATCATATACTCAAATTAATTATAAACAATTTCCTCTCTATAAGGAATAATATTACTTATTAAAATTAATACAATTTTAGATAAAGTTCCATCAAACAAAAATCCTCAATCACCTTGCAATTATGATAATCTATATCCTGTTTTAAGCTTTACTAATTACAACTGTCATATTCCAGTTACATTTCAATAGACATATAATTGGGATTTCAGGTATCCTTGATATTAGATCATTCATTAAGACTAATTTTTTCCCTATCACAAGTGACTCTTACAACATATTTTTCATATTTAAAATAACAATATAAATCCAACAAATACAGTTCTATTTTTAAGAATATATTCTATAATTTCATCAATCTACATCTATAAAAAAACTTTTAAGCCCTTTTATAAAGTTTACACCTTCAAATACTTATCAAGTATAATGTCAAGAAATTCCCAGCCTTCATTTATTATTAAATCAGACAGAAATTCTCTCTCTATTTCAAAATAATTATCATATTTAAAATAATAATGTAATTCCAAAAAATACATTATTTTTAAAAACATGTTCTATCATTTCATCACTCTACGTCTATAAAATCTTTTTAACCCCTAAACAAGTTTACTCCCTATTAATTATCAACTATGATAACAGTCAATTCCCATCATTCTTTTGTTATTAAATCAGACAAAATCTCTAAAGCCTTTTTAACCCATCAAGTAGCGTTTTATCTCACATTTAAACTTGACTCTAGCTTTCTTTCTATGCAAAGTTAATTCCCATATTAAAACTTTTCGATTATCGGGGGACTTCCGGTGTGCAGGCGACCTCGTCGGACGCAGCCGACAGCTGCCTCCCGCCTGTTTTCGCGTAAAAGCCGTTTTGACAGCAAGCATCAGCTGTCAAACGGCTTGATACCTTTCCCCCGGGCATAGGGGGATCGGCGAACTGCCCAGGGTAGGAGTTGAGTTCCCGAGTCGTCCTATGTGGGCAATGTAGGTTAGAACTCCTCCGGAGCCCTGAGGATTCTCCGCGATCCAGGACGCCTTCGCTTCGGCGAAGCTAGAAGCCGCCGCCACCGCTGCAACTTAAATTGAACTGTGAGTTATTGTATGCAGACAAACCGACCCTGGAAGTTTGCTTTCTATTTTGGATTTTACTCTAACTTGGAATATTCTGATCTTCCCTATACGTGGGGTGGATTGAGTGAAAGTGAACTTAAAATGGCAATGGAATGAAACTTTGTAGCAAGAAGAAATGAAAGTGATTTGCATTTCCGGTCTGGAACTTTCGCTGCTTTTAATACTTTCACTACTTGTTTTGGACTAATTGTTTAAAAGACTTTTATATAGTTTGAAATCTTAAATTGCTAATATGGCTTCGAGAAGAGTGGCGCCTACAACTTCAAAATAAATTACATCTCCGACTCCTCAGCCGCTCCAACAAACTTCTAAGCCGGCTTCCCACCCGCCACCCCTACCGCCATCTTCTTCACCTCCACTGCCCCCTGGTAAAAATGTACAGGATTTAGTGACTGAAAGTATTAAACAAATGACAGAGATGTTACAAAAAATGGATGCTAAAATCGAGAATAAAATTGATCAAGTAATACAGCAACAACAAGAACTATTACAGAAACATGAGGGCTTTCGTTTGAATATGACAACTGCTTTCCAAGGTTTGGCTGAATATGTGGACGGGGTGGCAGAAAGGGT